ATATATATATATATATAGATATATATATGTATTAGGGGTGCGAATCTCTCAGTGTCTGGCGATTCAATTCGATTCCGATTTTTGGTGTCAACATCGATTTTTCAATTCAGAAAAGATTTTCGATTCAGAGACAATTTTTCTATTGAAATGACCATAAATTTTGTTTCAGTTATGTAACTGACAACTGAAAAGCTTAAACAACAATGTAAACAAAAAGACATTTATTTAAAACAATAATTTTAGGTTCTTTACTGTATCAAATCTTTTTTCATCATTTTATATGAATACCAACAATAGGAACGAATATAGGAGTGCATAAAATTCTGTAACTTAAATTACTAAGTTAGCTTAGTTGCCTGGATTTTTCTTAAAAAAAAAAAAAATGAAATAAAGATCTAGGAACAAAAAATTCATCCATCCATCATCTTTATCCACTTTTTCCTTTACGAGTCACGGGTTTCACTGGTGCCCATGTCCAGCCATCACTGTGCGAGAGGCAGGGGAGACCTGGACAGGTTTCCAGTCCATCACAGACAAATAATTCTAAATATATACTGTAAATACAAAAGTAAACGGACTTCAGCCCACCATTGTACATTACTCAAAATGAAATACAGACGTCACAGTTTTTTTTAACCATATTGCTCTAACATTTGTTATATTTTCAAAACTTAATATGAAATATACAGTGCCTTGCGAAAGTATTCAGCCCCCTTGAACTTGTCAGACTTTTTCCAAATTTCAGGCTTCAAACATAAAGATATAAAATTTAATTTTTTTTTGTGAAGAATCAACAACAAGTGGGACACAATTGTGAAGTGGAATGAAATTTATTGGATTTGTCAAACTTTTTTAACAAATAAAAAACTGAAAAGTGAGGTGTGCAATATTATTCAGCCCCCTTGCATTAATACTTTGTAGCGCCGCCTTTTGCTGCAATTACAGCTGCAAGTCTCTTGGGATATGTCTCTATCAGTTTTGCACATAGAGAGACTGAAATTCTTGCCCATTCTTCTTTGTAAAACAGCTCGAGCTCAGTGAGGTTGGATGGAGAGCGTTTGTGAACAGCAGTCTTCAGCTCTTTCCACAGATTCTCGTTTGGATTCAGGTCTGGACTTTGACTTGGCCATTCCAACACTGGATATGTTAATTTGTGAACCATTCCATTGTAGATTTGGCTTTATGTTTTGGATCATTGTCTTAATGGAAGATAAATCTCAGTCCCAGTCTCAGGCCTCTTGCAGACTCAAACAGGTTTTCTTCCAGAATGGTCCTGTATTTGGCCCCATCCATCTTCCCATCAATTCTGACCATCTTCCCTGTCCCTGCTGATGAAAAACAGGCCCAAACCATGATGCTGCCACCACCATGTTTGACAGTGGGGATGTTGTGTTCTGGATGATGAGCTGTGTTGCTTTTACTCCAAACATATCGTTTTGCATTGTGGTCAAACAGTTCGATTTTGGTTTCATCTGCCAGAGCACCTTCTTCCTCATGTTTGGTGTGTCTCCCAGGTGGCTTGTGGCAAACTTTAAACAACACTTTTTATGGATATCTTTGAGAAATGGCTTTCTTCTTGCCACTCTTCCATAAAGGTCAGATTTGTGTAGTGTATGACCGATTGTTGTCCTATGGACAGGCTCTCCCACCTCAGCTGTAGATCTCTGCAGTTCATCCAGAGTGATCATGGGCCTCTTGGCTGCATCTCTGATCAGTCTTCTCCTTGTTCGAGATGAAAGTTTAGAGGGACGGCTGGGTCTTGGTAGATTTGCAGTGGTCTGATACTCCTTCCATTTCAATATGATTGCTTGCACAGTGCTCATTGGGATGTTTAAAGCTTGGGAATTCTTTTTGTATCCAAATCTAGCTTTAAACTTCTCCCCAACAGTATCTCAGACCTGCCTGGTGTGTTCCCTGGTCTTCATGATGCTCTCTGCGCTTTGAACAGAACCCTGAGACTATCACAGAGCAGATGCATTTATACGGAGACTTGATTACACACAGGTGGATTCTTTTTATCATCATCAGTCATTTGGGACAACATTGGATCATTCATAGATCCTCACTGAACTTCTGGAGTGAGTTTGCTGCACTGAAAGTAAAGGGGCCGAATAATATTGCACACCCCACTTTTCAGTTTTTTATTTGTTAAAAAAAGTTTGACACATCCATTAAATTTCATTCCACTTCACGATTGTGTCCCTTTTGTTGTTGATTCTTCACAAAAAAAATAAAATAATAATTTTTATATCTTTATGTTTGAAGCCTGAAATGTGGCAAAAGGTTGAAAAGTTCAAGGGGGCTGAATACTTTCGCAAGGCACTGTACACACTTCACAGTCTAACCATATTGATTCATATTTGGTAAATCTTTTAACAAAATGTCAAAACCTATGCAAACCTGCCTAAAAACTTCTGAACTGTAATAATTTATAAACCATAAATTGTATCATTTAGAACTGGCTCAGGAGATGTGTCTCATCTCACCTCTCTTCAACCTGTTAAAAAGACAAATTACATTAAGTTTGTTATACATCTTGTCTATAAGTTTTTGTATATTATGAGAAATAACACTTACCTTTGAGCTGCAGCTGCATCAGAGTTTCTCCCATCCATTGTTTGATGGTGAAGTTCTGGTGTTGCTTATCGCAAAAAAAAAAAAAAAAAAGAAAAAGCTATGTGAAGGAATAACGTACGTTGGATCCAGCGTATTAAAAATAAACCTAAACTCTCACCTTCCACTGAGCTGTTTGCTCGTAAATCCTTTGTGCAGGAGATGGAGTGAGAAATCTTCACAGCCTTTGGGGAATCAGCTGGAAGTTTGTTGCATAGTTCTCTGGTCTGTTGCTTTCGCTTTCATCTTTATTTCCAAAATACTGTACCGCAATTTTATTTTACACTTCTTGCAAACAACCTTGCTCTTGTTAAGCTCTGTCGTCCCCTGGAACATTGTAGGATCTGAAATTACTTTTAAAGATGAAGGAGTGGGTTGAATCGTGCTTTTCCCCTCCTCCATGCTAGCAGTCTCCATTCAGATAAAGGCAGCTGGCTAACTAGCTTGCTGTATGGGGGCCTACACCGCCAAAATTCTACGGCGGCCTAGCGGACATGTAATGCAATGTGCAGTACGCTTGGGAGTAGGAGCGAAAAATTATAAAACTTAAACACATTTTAAATCGATTTATGGGCCTTTAGAATCGATTCAGAATCGCCTGGACTAAAAATCTAGATTCTTTAAAAAATCAATTTTTTTCTGCACCCCTAATACGTATATATATATATATATATATATATATATATGGCATACAGCTCATGAAAACCCAAAATGCCTGTCCCAAAAAATTAGCATATCATGAAAAGGTTCTCTAAACAAGCTAGTAACCTAACCATCTGAATCAACGACGTAACTCTAAACACCTGCAAAAGATTCCTGAGGCTTTTAAAAACTCCCAGCCTTGTTCATTACTCAAAACCGCAATCATGGGTAAGACTGCCGACCTGACTGCTGTCCAGAAGGCCATCATTGACACCCTCAAGCAAGAGGG